ATGAAAGCGATATCTATGATTCAATGTAAACACTATGCTTTGGCAATATATTGTAACAATTGTCATGCCAATAAAGCACAAATTGAATTAAATTTAATTGAGAGAGAGAGATAGAGAGAGAGAGAGAGACACACAGACAGACAGACAGACAGACAGGTGACAGCGTCAGCAGAACTAAGGGTGTGTGAATACCTGGGTCTGTCTTTCTTCAGGTCAACTCCTATAATCATGAAAAAAATCAGTTTGCCATCAGTTGTGAGAAGATGAAAGCGATATCTGTGTCGTTGTATCCTTTCAGTATTTAAGGGGATTTCCCACGACTGTCGTCAGCGCTGTTCAGTACACTGAATCAATGGCATTGTTCTCTATGAAGTGAAATATCAGCTTCACTGTAACCCATGTGATGCGTTGATTGTTGATTGAGCCTTGTAAACTGGCACTCAAAGTAAATTAATGTCAACACCTTGTTTCATTCATGAATGAATCAGCGTTTTTAAGTGTATCCATTGAATTAATGTTTTTTAATGATGACTCACTCGTAAAGTCAATCCATTGCAGCCACCTGCTGGTGTAACAATGCCTGACAGCCCAGCGCTGATACTGAAACATCACTATATAGTCAGTGGCATAAAATGGTCATAAAATGACAATAATATTGTTTTAATAATATCGCAATTATTTCTAGGGCAATATATCGGTAAATAATAATAAAAAAAAGTTAACAAGACCAGCCTATGAACAGGTGGCTTGATATGCCATCTATCAGTGGACCTGACACCAGAAGAGCTAAGGAAAATGGACAGCACAAAAACACGTCAATATCAATGGGGGGCGGGGGTCCATGAGGTTGGTTTGAGATATTATGGGGGTCCAGTACTCAAAAAAGGTTGAGAACCACAGATGTAGATGACCACCTGAAAAATAGAGTCCACATAACACAATCACATAATGCTAAAATAACACAATGTAACAACAAAAAAAATAATAATTTTTTAATGGTTCTTCTGTAATGCTGTGGTGCTAATTATTATTGTACTGCATTTTTTTTAAGACACTTTGCTTTTGCAAGGATGGGAACATAGAAGTTTCTGTAACATTCTGTAATATTCTGTAAAATGCTAGTGCTTTCTGGAACATTCCAGAACATTGTGGGGTATAAAAAGACAACAATCATCCAATGTGTACTTGTTTACTTGTACTAATTTTTGGTAACTGTTTATGTTAAACTGTTGTTGTTAGCTCAGTATTATGCATGTACCATGTAACTGTTATGCATAAGTAATAACATATTATTTATTTTAGTTTTCCTGAGCACTTTTAATGCTACACAAAAAGTAATCAGCATGTCAAACTTCATACAGAAAAGTTTTTATAAAAAAATATTTCACGATGTAATACAATACAAATGAACTAAAAATGGCAACAAAAAAATATATAATATGAAAACACCATAATGCACATAAATAATAATAATAATATTATTATTATTATTATTATTATTATTATTATTATTATTATTATTATTTACAGTATTATTATTATTATTATTATTATTATTTACAGTGTATCTATCATAATTTCACATCCAGCACAAACTTCAGTATTTGCCATGAGTTTAGAATGGTGTGCCTGTTTCCCTTCCCTCCCTCTGTTTTTTTTATTTATTTATTTAAAATTATATCTGACCTCTTTGTGATCAACTAAATTGCATCTCCTTCATTTGGAAATAATGTGATACAGCATAAGTAAACTGCTGAAATGTCTGCGGGGGTGTTGATGACAGAAAATGCTATTATACAATAGACTACAAAACAATATCGATGCACTGTATATACTCTTTCTTTTCTTTTTGGTAAGCTCATATTATTTCTGATTAATACACCAGCTGTCAAATGCTGTGTCACCCATAATATATCCATACCATATTTCAGCAGAGCAATATATTTATATACAGAAGATCGATTGTGACAGATCCAGGATTTCAGTTTATTGAATAACATTTCATTGTGAACAACAGGTCATCGTTGACTATTTAAGGTGAGATCCTTCAGCCTTTCATCACAACCACAACGAGGGTAAATTGTATCCATGACAACAAAGCTTTCATTGGCGCGCTGCCAGACGCGCCTCTACTAGGGTGCAATTATACAATAGACTACAAAACAATATTGATGCACTGTATATACTCTTTCTTTTCTTTTTGGTAAGCTCATATTATTTCTGATTAATACACCAGCAATACACCATACCATATTTCAGCAGAGCAATATATTTATATACAGAAGATCGATTGTGACAGATCCAGGATTTCAGTTTATTGAATAACATTTCATTGTGAACAACAGGTCATCGTTGACTATTTAAGGTGAGATCCTTCAGCCTTTCATCACAACCACAACGAGGGTAAATTGTATCCATGACAACAAAGCTTTCATTGGCGCGCTGCCAGACGCGCCTCTACTAGGGTGCAGAAATATTGCTATGGCAACTGTATCCGTCAGGTGATTACGATTATTAGTACATAAAGCTGGTTGTAGTTTTGAAAGAGATAGTGATGGCAACCTAGAAACTGAAAATGATAGCTATTTTTGTTTGATAAAGGGCAGGACAATTCCTTGCCTAGACATTCTGGCAGCCATTATTTGGAAACGCGATGGCATTCAGTGTATAACAGTGCGTCATAAAAATCATATAAACACGGGACATAAGATGCAAGTAATAAATGTATACATTGTAAGGGACGAGTACAATTAGATAATCATTTCCCAAAATAATAATGATCACATTGTCTTGTATCATCCTGAAGGGGTTTGTTTGTGTACATTATCCCACTTATTACACGACTACTTACCAAAAATGGACATGATATTTTGATATGAATTGCAATAATATGATTTGACTTTGGAATAAATATGTCATAAAAGTCATTACTGAGAAATATGTAACGATTGACCAATCAGAATCAAGTATTCCAGAGAGCGCCGCGTAATGAGCACTTTAACTCTGCACCCTCAGTTTATAACGTATCGATCAGTGCCGAAGATAACGCGCTACCTGTTGTGCGCGGAGCTCAGTCGTGGTCATCATCGGACCCCTCCCAACCTGTGGATTTCCTTCAGCACGCATACTAAACGCTCATTTACCCACAATTTTTTTTTGTCACGCTCTGATACATTTTCCTCTCAGTAATTTAACTCTAATCCGCTCGCGCGCCATCATAATTTCCCCTCTCATTCCAGACGAAGAATTTCACACATTTTCATTATTATTACACAAATAAATCACTCCGATAATAATATGCCAAAACATAACACAAATAATGCATAGAGGTTATGTAAATAATAATTTAACGCTTTAATGAGGCAAAAACGCACAAAGAAACTCGGACACACCCTCGCGCAACAATAACAGCGCGCTGTGTCATTCTACTGCATTTGTTCAACAAACTCCGAATTCACTTATGCTATGTGTGAACTACATTATGCATCTCAAAACAAAATCGACATTAATTAATTAAATTAATGTCGACATTATTAAATGTTTACATTACATAGACTGATGATGTTATTGGAGTAAAAGCGAGGCTTGACGCACGTCATTCCAAAATACCTTCTTTACAATGAGGAAACATCAAGCAACATCTCTAAGACTATAAAACAACAGCACACGCCCTAGTTGGATAAGTGACTTCATACCCTACCTCGTCTCGTCTCCTTAAGGGTACTTGTAAGTGAATGGGCAACAGTGGGTCACACGCTGCTTCACGATCCGCACGACTGTAGGGTCCTCAAGTCGTTGTCTGTTAAGTGGATTTTTTTGGCGTTTTGAGATGGAACGAACAGTTATGAATGGTTAAAAATCCACTTAAACGAGCGTTTGATGTTGTATAGCAGTCAACAAGGTTCACCTCCTCTTATCTGATATAAATATATTGACTGTTGGTGTGCCCCTTGTCTCTTCTCTCCCGCTCTCTCGGTTCCCGCCCCGCCACGCGCGCAATGAGAGACACCGCACGCGTTGGTCGCGAGTAGTGGTTGGTTGGTCTTTATAAGTCTTCAAAGCCTATCTAAAAGTCTAAAATTATTCAATACGGTTTGTTTTTTCGGCGTTCACAAATGCGAAATCTTTCTGTTGTTTCAGCAATGAGTTATAATGCAAAGCAAATCGGAACTTTTAATTCTTCAGCTTCTCAGATGATTCTCCTGAGAAAAAGACCAGCGTGTGCGACCTCACATTTAGAGGAGATCTCACAAATATCTTAAATTTGTGCTCTAAAATCTGTGCTCAAATTTGTATAGATACCTAAGACAGTCAATCAAAAGTCTGGGATTTCAATATGAACATTCTCCTAAAACCAAATTATCTTAACTATGTTAGCAACATCATGGCTTTATCGTAATGTAGGCTATATCAACCGTTGTCAGTTGTCTCTCTTTTTTATTTTAAAGTTGTTTTAGGAGAAAAATCTGGGACAAAGGTGATTCTGCAATAATATTTTGCCCAGGATTGGGGTGGCCGCAAAAACAATCACAGGTAGGCCTACTAGTTGAGACATTTTTTTTACTCCAGTGAATATTTCTCAACATGGATTTATTTTTGAAAGTCAGTTGCATAGATACATAACTGAATGCTTTGGCTACAAAAAAAAAAAAAGTATTGAATGTTTCAAGAATTAAAGATATTCACTCTCTTGTGCTTAACACGCTGAAAATGTTTTTTTAATTTTTTTATGTCACATTCAATTGCATTACATTAATCACTTAAATTATATATTTTAATTCAAAATGGCAAAATTTGACAAAAGTAGTGTAGCTTGCATAACTGGATATTAGTTTTGGTTGTGTAACATTTTTATTGTAAAATAGTTGCCAAAATTGTTTACATATCTTACCTCACACTCTTTCAGCTGAAGTGTTGCACTGGAAATCTGAATGTGCCATAGTAGTTACAGCCTAATGAGATACAGCATTTTTCATAGCTAGCCCCATTCTCCCGTATATATTAATTTGTTGCAATCGGAGAATAAAGCTCTTACTGTATCCATTTTGGCATGATTTATAAAGAAACATTATGAATCAGAAATAGAAAAGGACGAACCCTTCACATAGGCTAAAACAATACAACCACATTTTATCGTAGCTCATAGACACTGATTTTCAAACAAAATGAACACCCCTTTGGTTATTAAATACATATTTTCAGAATATTCCCAATATTATTTTGTAGAATCGGTGCAAGGATACCAAGTACCAAGTATACCAATACAAAGAGGCAACAAAGGCTCAGACTCAGCAGCTGTGCCCTGAACTTACAGTAAAAATGCAAAGAAAAGAATGAGGAAAGCACAGCGACAGAAGTAGACCACCGGGTCCTCAATGCCTGCAGCTCTGCTTTTCCCAGGTTGAGTTGTGTTATTGTTTTCTTTCTTGAGAATGTGGGATTAATAAAGTCTGTTTTTCTTTGTCCAATTGTGGCTACATATATTGCAACATTGTCCCATGTCAAAGTGCATTGCTCTGTCCTTCATCTTTTTCGCTGTGTCCACTGTTGTCCTCAGGAATGGACACATCATACAGAAAAGAGGCATCAGGGCTTCTCTTGCTAAGATAACAAGATATAGACGGGTTAAAAGAAAGTATGGTTGTGAAATAACAATATTATGAATTAACAAACTATGTGGCCTCATGTTGGACCATGTTGTCCAGCTTACCTGCATCTTGCTGTAGATCCAGGGCAGAAGGCTGGTCACTCTGCTATATACTCCTGGTCTTTGTCTTTGTCCACATCCAGCTCCCCAACTCGTAATTCCAGCCAGATACCAGCGGTTATTATCCCCCTTGCACACCAGCGGACCTCCACTGTCCCCCTGAGACCGAAGACAAGGACAGAGAGAAAGCAAATGGAACATGGACTTCAGATCATTGTGAACAAGCATGTATAACAATTATTAAAAACAGTAAATAGTATAAAAGTATAAGTATAAAATAAATTAATAGTTATTTTGAACAGTACTCATTTTCAGTCTACACTACCAGTCAAAAGCTCAAAAAAACAATTATTATTAATATTTAAAACAGTTGAGTAATTTTTTTTCAGGATTCTTTGATGAATAGAAAGATTTTTGGGGGAATAAATTATAGAAATTAATACTTTTATTTAGCAAGGATGCTTTAAATTTATCAGAAATGATAAAGACATTTAGGATGTTACTAAATATTTCTATTTAAGATAAACGCTGTTCTTCTGAACTTTTTATTCATCAAAGAAACCTGAAAAAAAATCTACTCAGCTGTTTTCAACATAATAATAATAATAATAATAAAAATAATAATAAATATTTTTTGAGCAGCAAATCAGAATATTCAAATGATTTTTCAAGGATCACTGGAGTAATGATGCTAAAAATTCAGCTTTGAAATCACAGGAATAAATTACATTTTAAAATATATTCAAATAGATAACAGTTATTTTAAATAGTAAAAATATTTCAAAATGTTACTGTTTTTGCTGTACTTTGAATCAAATAAATGCAGGCTTGGTGAGCAGAAGAGGCTTCTTTAAAAAACATTAAAACAATCTTACTGTTCAAAAACTTTTGACTGGTAGTGTATATTGCTAAAAAAAAAAAAAAAATCTATACAAGTTTATTTCCAAAACAAATTTAATGCAAAGTATTTTATATAAATTATTTTATATAAACAGTTTTTTAAACAATTATAAACAATTATTTCAAACAAATCCTTATGTATGTGTGGAGTTGCACCACATGACATTTTGCAGTCTAAACTATATTTTAAAAGGTCAAATTTAGAGACTTATTGACATTGCTCCTCCTGTTGATATATTTTCCTGTTTTATGTTAGTTGCATCATATGGCAAAATATATATATTTTTTTACAAAAAATAATAAAAGATTACATAACTTCTCAAGTTTTATTTTGAATAAATAATGAGACTGAAAAAATGGGTGTAATGTCATTGACCCATTATAATTTTTATAGAAAGTAGTTCTTAAAGCAAATTTCATCATGCACTACATACTTGGTTGAATAAAAAAAAAACAGTTGTAGCACTGTGAACAACAGCATAAAGCATTTGCCCAAACCAGAATAAATCAATGTCATGAGACAAAGGAGCACTGGGCAAGACTTGGCCAGTGAATAATGTATTTGCCTGAGGTCACTTGTGCTCTTGTAGCTTAGGTAGACCCACCTGACAGGAGTCCCGGCCCCCATTCATATCACCGGCACATATCATATTATTGGTGATGGCCCCACGGTACACCTGACTGCTGTTACACAGACGCGTGTTGATGATATTCACTGTCACTTCCATGAGGCTTGTAGAGGCACGGCCTGTGAGAGCAAAGGAAACGCTCACAGTCAAAGGTCAGCTAAAAGCTCCAAAGAAGACAATAGACATTGAAAGCTGTAACATGGGCAGATTTCTAAGATCAAATCTGCATTTTCAAACTGTAAAGTATGAATAAAAAAATAAAAAAAAGGTTTTAATTGTTCAATGCATTATTATTTTATAATAATATTTTAAGAATAGTTTTTATATAATTAAATACATTGCATTTTTTTGCATAAAGGAAATATAGTAATTTGTTAGGAAGATTAAGATTTTAATTTTTTTTTATATTGTGACATTATTTTTATGACTTTTACGATTTACCACCCAATTTCTAATGACCGTAATGTGTTCAGATTCTTTACTTTTTAATTTATTGGTAATTCTCATTATGCTCAATAATGATTGTTATTATTCTCGTCAAAATGGTCCTATTTGAAAAAAAAAATAAAAAATAAAAAATAAACCTCATAATAGTACACTACCGTTCAGAATTTGGCATCATATATATATATATATTACAATATCAACATTATATAAAGGCAACACAATATTATTATAATGTATACATACAGTATTTTACAATTTTAATAATTATTATATTGTGTTATTACATACATTATTAAAACATTATATTGTTTGTGTAATAATTGCCAGAATATAAATATAACATGCAAGAGACATCTTATTTTTTCTGAAAAATTAATTTTATTTTTATTGAATTGAATTGAATTTAATTTTATGCTTTTTGTGAATCACTACATGTTCTGTGTTTATCTTCTGTATAACACTGTCCTGTTTAGGGAAATTATAATTATACATGGTGTTACACTTTGTCCTATTTGTCCTCCTCTTCCGTTTTCATTCATTCTCATTTTTATCTGTCTGTACCTGCTCCCTCTTGTGTTGTCCCAAAGCCAGATGTCCAGCACTCTGATCCATCAGAAAAGGTTTGGTCAAATGTAGGAAAGCATACTGGCTGCACAGTGCCTGGAATGAGAAGAGAAATGTTACTATAGAATATTTGGAATATATATAGAGTCATACACCATAAATGCTATATTTATGGTACTTTATGGGCGCTAAATGGTTTCACTGTAGAACAAAAAAAACAGGGAACTATTTCATCAAGAAAACCCAACTCACTGGAGAAGGTAACAGGACTACTGAGTTTCAGCAAGGCGACATCATAATCATTGTTGTTACTGTTGTAGTTCTCATTCACTATGATCTTCTTCACAAGGTAGGGTATCTGAAGGGCACTCTGGGAAATAGCCCCAGCATAGACACGCCAATTTCCAGAATTCCTCATTGAGCTGTGATCAAGAAAAAAAAAAAGATCATGTTATCTCAATAAATGTTATAATGGGAAAAAAATAATGATTAAAATAAGTTATAAATACTTGCTGAAAATCAAAACAACTAAAAATAATAAACATTTCCTATTAAACAAGTTAGTTCCTGATGCTAAACTTCTAGAAAATTAGATTAGCAACACCAGTGTGTTCAGTTCCAAGGGATATGCACATGCAGGCTACCAATTTCCAGAATTCCTCATTGAGCTGTGATCAAGAAAAAAAAAATCATGTTTATCTCAATAAATGTTATAATGGGAAAAAAATAATGATTAAAATAAGTTATAAATACTTGCTGAAAATCAAAACAACTAAAAATAATAAACATTTGCTATTGAACAAGTTAGTTCCTGATGCTAAGCTTCTAGAACAGTAGATTAGCAACACCAGTGTGTTCAGTTCCAAGCGATATGCACATGCAGGCTAAATTCAATGCTTAAAGGGGTCATGAACTGAGAAATCAAAATTCCCTTGATCTTTTGATATGTAAGAGGTCATTGTGCTATAAAAAACATCCTGTAAATTTCAGAAATCAAAACTTTATAATTAGTCTAAAAAAAGCTTATATTAAAGCCAAAATCTGCCAAAACGACAGGTTGTAGAATGTGCCACTTTATGATGTAGTAGTGTGGCTAAACACCGCCTCCACAGAAGAAGATCAACGCCTGCTTCTACATCACTGCCTGTTTAGCCCCGCCCACCGATTCATGCAAGTAGTAGGTAAATGAAGACAGCGGCATACGCAGGTCTATGCAGAAACCAAACGCTAACATTTATTTGATGAATTTTATTTTTAATGAAGTGCCACGTCAGTAAGAACTTGGTGCTTTGTTCACTTCATTATACCGCGGATTCAGTTCAGGATCAAACACAGGAGAGAAAATAGCCTATTAGGCCTACTTGGACTATTCTACAAAAGATAATGATGTAATGATTTTCATTTTTAGGTGAAATATTCTTGTTGTCTTTTTTTTAAAATTATTATCATTATTCTTTTTTTTTTATTATGTTTACCTTCTAAAGCCCAGCTGTTCACAGATCTGGTCAGCATAACTCTGATCCATTCCCTGATAACACACTGGAAGGAATCGACCATCCTGAGCAGTTCTGACCTGCAACACTCCACCTTCACCAAATCTCACTGAGAATTTTGAAGAGGAAAATTAAAACAACGAAATTACATTTCCTTGATTAGTATTTTTGTCATGTTTTACTGCAACAACTTTTATTTTTATCTCAGTTTTAGTAATTTTAGTACTTCAAGTCATTTATTTCAGTCATTTGCCAAGGCTATTTTGTCTTTTTCATCTAATATTTATATATCATAATTTATTTCAATTACAGAAAATAGTTTGCAGTTGTTTTAGTATAAACATTTGTTAACAATAACAACAGTCTTGAATTAGTTTAATTAATCCAAGATATATACTTAACAATGCAATATATGTTATCTGGGTTTTATTATCTCACACAATTTTGTTTCTTGATATCCAAAAGTAAATTATGTTGTTTTAAAGATGTTTAGTTTTTTTTGCAGTGTAACCAGCAGTGCAGCTTTCAACTGTTTACTGTTTTGTCATAATACAGTAAATAGAGAGATTTCCAAAAGTAAATGATGTTGTTTTAAAGATGTTTAGTTTTTTTTTGCAGTGTAACCAGCAGTGCAGCTTTCAACTGTTTACTGTTTTGTCATAATACAGTAAATAGAGGCCTCACTGTGTACAGTAAATGCTTTTCTCAGAGCAGTACGGTTTCTCGCTAATCTTGAAATCTAGTTGCCTTATCTAGACATGTCATCCTTGTAGTTTCACTTTAAAGCCAAAGCTGAAACACTCAACCACTAATCTCTCTGTGTTGTGTCCTGAAATAATCAATTACATCTGATTGTCAGCCTCTTTGCTGTAGAAAGTGTTCTCACCACAGTTTGCCTCATCGGCGGCCTGTTGGCAGTTTTGGATGCCATCACACTGCTTGGAAGAGTTGGAGCAGGTGTCAGGTACACTCGTGCCATCTTGCGTCCTGTGGTGTTCTTCTTCGCTGTCATGTTCCTGTTCCTGTTCCTTGCAGTCTTTTCCTCTGCAGTCGCTGTCATTTTCCTGTTCCTTGCAGTCTTTTCCTCTGCAATCACTGTCATGTTCCTGTTCTTTGCAATCTTGTCCCCTGCAGTCATTCTCATAATGTCCAGAATTCGACTTGGATCCATAACGCACTATCCACATAAGTGAGAGTGGTAAAGAGAAAAAGAGGAGAGGGGTTTAGATACAAGGTAAGCATTAATGGTATGTCCTGTCATTACAGATACATCCCCTCCCTTACCTCCAAGCCAGATGGCCAGTCCAATGAGAGCCAATACCAGCAGCGCACCTACCCATCCACCCCAACACTTGGCACTCCGTCCACAAGACTTTTGCCTTTTTGTAGGAACTAAAGGAACAAGAGCAATTCATACTCAACTAACATCTCACATTTACAATTGAAAGTATGTAGCACTGTAATTGTAGTCGAGTGAAGGACTGTTCATTAATTAAAAAATGCATCTTAATGCAGTTTATAAAGACAAATATGCACCTTGTCTATCATGAACATGTTTTCAAGTTTTCTTTTCATTTCATTTCAATTGAAATGAAAGTCTTTTTTGTGGGGTTTGAAGTAAAACTGTGTAGGTGGTGTAATTGTCTGGAGAATATAATGTAGATCATTCTTGAGGTAATACTTTGGCATAATCTTTCATTTTGTTTCTTAAAAAATATCTGATGAAGTTTTAAAATATAATTAATGTTTGATATAAAAAGATAATTAGAGATTTACTGACATCTGCTCATGTTAGATCAGGTTGTACGAAGGTATATATATTATATGGCTTCACCACTTGACATTGTGTGTGTATCTATATAGTGTAAGAAGAAGAATATAAACAGTACATTTCTAAAAAAAAAAAAAAAAAAAAAAGCTTTTTTTTAAACACAATTTAACAATTTAACAATAAAACGCTTTGTAAACACAATTTGTATGATTTTTTTTTTCTTGAACATTCTTTTTTTCCAGCAGCTGAACCTTCACTGGGAGTTTGATTGAGAGGCGATCTGACCAATCATAACGCTGCATCTGCCATGTTGTCCGCCAAACAAACCAGACAGGAGAGAAGATTAATGTTGGTGGGCTTGACCTTGAAAAATTGTGAGTAGTTCCTAGGGCTTGGTTTTTACTCAAATTTCACGATTCGATTTTGACTCACAAGATTTCAATTCGATATGATTTCCCATTTGATCTGATTCAATATTGATTATTTTGGATATATATCAGATACAGTAGGCTACATGCTAAATTTTCTGAAGGAAAAAAAAAAATCTCTCAACCAATACTGTAAAATATAAATGAGAACCAGTTGGTACTACATTACTAAACTATTGAAGGTTAAAATTAACTAAATTTATATACAAATGCTTAAATTACACTCGGTGTCGTTTTATAATCATAAACTTACAGTTACATAATTATATTTCTACTCCAATCTTTTTTTTTGTTTTGAAATATAAACATTTAAATGGTTGCTGTCATATAAACTTATTCAAACATAAACACTTAAGAACAGTAAAAATTATGAACAGGTTATGTTATTTGGTGCATACATTTAGCAAAATATTTAGCGACAACTTTTTTCTAGCTGACTTATAAGTTTATGGTCACCGAATGTGTTTTTTTCTGAGGTAAATGTGATGTTACGTGATATTTTTTTCAAGCTGCTATATTAGCGTTTTTCCGCGGTTGAAATGCTGATTGAGTGACTACATGAGGCAGGATACGGATTTAGGTAACTTGTACTCCTTCTTTTAACATACCTTCGGATGTTTACTCATGTTTATTTTGTGCTGAAACTGGTATTAAAGCCATCAGAGATCAGTTCAAACGCACTTCACGCTGCCGCTTCTCTTGAACTGTGCGTAGCTGTGCGATCTGTCACGCCACATTAAACAGTGACAAAACGGTATTTATTGTTTGAATATTGTAATAAAATGGTACAAATTTGAAATCTAAGACTTTGTTTCATAGGCTACTGTATCAAAAATAACAAAGCACAATTATTGCGATTTATTGCATGGGAGGAGCGCTTCAATGTTACATTCATTAACTGAAAACAGGCTAGACTTCGATTCTTGGGATTTGAGAATCGATATCGTTTTGTAAAAATGAGAATCGATTAAAATCGAGAAATCAATATTTTTTTACCCAGCCCTAGTAGTTACGTCTTTTCGCATTTAAACAAGATACCTTCTGATGTTCATTCATGTTTATTTTGTGCTGTAATAAAGAGGAAGAGATGATCGGTTCACGTGCCGCTTGAACTGAGGCACTACAGCGATCTGTCATGACACTTAAAGAGCCACAAAATGGTATCGTTTGAGTGTATTAAAAAGGGTACAAAATGCAGATTTGGCGTTATGATTGGTCAGATTGCCTTTCATTCAAACTCCCGGTGAAGGGTCAGTTGCCCTCTCTGTTTTGATTATGATCAATTTGTAAAAAGAGTTTGCAGATAGTAGCTTCAATTAGCAAGAGCAGATTACATATGAAGCTATTTTGAACAGTAGCACCTAACTGGAGTGACTGAAGAGATTCAGTACATACCAACGACATGCTGTGTAGTGATGATGACGGCGTCTACCTTTACTGGTGCTGGATACTTTGGAACATAGTACGGCACAGGTTTCTGTGTGAACCCATATTTGTCCTGACAAATTACCTCCTCATAGGTCATAGGAGGCGTCTGTGGGTCCGCTGCCACAGAGTAGTATGGTGGCGGAGGGTCCTTCTACAAAAGAAAAAGTGAAAGTGTTCATAAATGATTATAAACTTTTCCATTAGCTCTATTATGGTTGGTGTGGTTTGACAAGTCCATTGTAAAGCATTATCATTTTAAAACAAGAAATATGCCACACAATGCTCTTACAATTTGTTTGTGTACCTTGTCCTAAATAATTGAAATGCCTTGACTTTCCCTTCCAGACCAGAATTCTTTGAGTTCTACATTCTAGTCAAATGGCATAACACATATGTCAGTATACTTGTATTTCTGGTCTACTTCTTGTTTTGTTTTGTTTTTACCGTAACCTTGATAATAGTTTGAAAAATCTCTTTAAAAAAAAAAAAAGACATGCTTTAAAAATCAAAGTCGGCATGAAATGAAGTTGTATTTTTTTTTCTTTCCAAATTTTGATGTACTGTATAGCCGTGTGAAACGGCTCAAATTGATTTATGGATCGGAAACAGATCTATGTAAATGGAAAGTGCACTGAAAAATAATAAGATATACAAACAATTGTCACTAGTAAAATTACAAGTATATGTCACAGTTAATTACAAAGTGGAAAGTAACACATTAAAATAAATGAGACATTTTTGAAGGAGAAAGACTGAAAAAGTATTTTCTTGTAAAAATTATTCCAATAATCTTTGTTCTTGTTGAACTTTGAAAAAAAAACTCATTTTTGTAGCATATAATTTGATTATTTGGTCACTAAATTGGGGTGATTACTGAAACCTGATTATTGAGGCAATGTGTTTGCACTGATTGCATGTTCCATCATCAAATCCTTATATGCTGCCAATCTGTTCAATATTTGAAACTTCATCTAAAATGGCATTTGTATTAGACATGCAGCTTGGAAACCTGCTTCATTTCCTCGTCTTGCTCATTTTCAGCCCTTTGCTTGTATCGGTCATGACTGCCCAATCCATTTTCATGTTTTCATTGTCATGTCATTCCAAACCAGTCACATTTTTGGTGCAGTGCCAACTTGATGATGTCAAATATGAATCAGTCATAATTAGGGCTGCACGATAAATCGCATGCGATATTTCACGCGCATCTTGTCAGTAAAGTCGATAATCTGCGTAATCAGCGTTGTTTACGTTCGGTGGGAAAGCGCGCACATGAACGTAATCTGCGTAATCAGCGTTGTTTACGTTCGGTGGGAAAACGCGCACATGAACGTAATGTTGGGAGTCATGACAAGACACTTTCATAAGACTGATGACAGAGAAAAAAAAAAACACTTGAAACATTCTGAATATCTTTCAAGATTAATCACTGAACAAGTTTTAGGGGAAGCTTTGTTTTCATTTATGGCATTAGAAAAATACGCTAGGGAGCAGCTCCTCCTGTTGTGCTTCATTTATCCTTGGAGAAATGGGAGTCATCTGATTTATTTAACAAAGAAAGGCAGTTAAACAAATGAGTGCAGGCTGTTGTTTATTGCTAATAAATGCTTTTATTTATGGCTTTTATAACTATATAATTAAAGTCAAGCACGTTTGCAATCTTATTGACTGTGCATGATCTCAGCTGGGAAGCATGACAACTCAGTTCCCCTTCAGGAACTCGAGCTGCGTCGAAACGCTACGGGAACGATTGGTTGCCTGCTTGGGAGCAAAACACGCAGAGTCAGCTGACTGTCCGCATTGCGAGTGTTTGTCACTGCGTATGCTTGCTCTCAGAGGGAGCTCTTTGAGTCTTCACCGGCGTTTCTCGCGGCGCCGGCCCCGCTTTCGCCGAGGCGGAGCGGCGGCTGTGTTCGTGGGTTTCGCATATGGATCCGGTGGAGGGAATGTAGATGGGCGAGTCCCTATCTTCTTCCTTAACCACCAGATCCAGCGCCGGTTGGAGACGGCTCGCCCTTTCTCCGCCTGCACACCCTAGATCCAGCGATCTCTCTCGAGGCTCGGAAGCCCGCGCTGCGGTTTCTTCCCCCTCAGCAGCGAGAGCTCGCTGCTGCGGCCATTTTTCTCCAAGTAGATTGATATTGTTTGTGTGACCAAGTGGCTCGTGCGCTGCCGAGGCAACGCGTGTATTACATCATTTTCAGTTTTTGATGTTCTTCATATGTACACCTTTCCCCCCATTGTTCTGCTCCCAGGAGTTCTGGAGAGAGTGCGCTGGAACAAGGTCAGTCTTCGGGACGGCGGGCCCTGCCTACTTTAGCCATTCCTGGCTCTCTTTCTCTCACCTTAGTTGTGCTCTTCCACACCAGGCAGGGATTTGCAAGTCTGGCGGCGTGGGCATTCTCGTTCCTGTAGCGTTTCGACGCAGCTCGAGTTCCTGAAGGGGAACGTCTCCACTTGCTTCACTCCTAGAAGCTGACGCCGGTTTCACCGCACGTGCTTTTATGCTTCCTGGTCGCTACGTCACCCCGCCCGTGACGTCTCGCCCATCCATTGGACTGATTACACATGTGATTCAGAGCGTGGTCACGCTGGAGGCGTTCCTGTAGAGTTTCGACGCAGCGTCTCATTCCCTTCGGGGAACCATGGTTACATGTGTAACCTGGAGACGTTTTTTTAAAGTGTACCTGCACTCTACACTGCCTCCTGTTGGCTAAATGTAGAACGGCTGCTTTGAGATTTTATACCAGGATACCTTTATTCCTGGAGATCTACCTTCCTGCAAAGATCAGCTCCACCCTTACGAAAATTATCCATGGTTTTACTACAGATAAAAAAAACAAAACAAAACATGGTTACTATAGTTAAACCATGGTAACCACAAATTAACCATGGTTTTGCTACACTAACCATAGTTTAACCGTAGTATTTGTAGTAAAACTGTAGTTATACAAATAGTAATAAAAAAACATGGTTACTACTCTTTTACTACAATAAAACCATGATTAATTTAAATAAGGGCAACCCTGATCAAACACAACTGAACAAACTAATTAATGTCGTGTTCTGGAAGAGGTCGGAAGTGGGAACACTGAAGTTTAAATGTCCCACTTCCAATCCCAGTGAACTCACACACTCACAGTCAATCACACATCACTAACATATTGACCTCATGATGTCGCCATGACACAATGAGAGCATTTGCTGTTTTTGAGTCAATTATGGAAAAAAATAAATAAATAAATAAATTTACATCAAATATTGCTGTTCGTTTTGAAAACAAAAAAAGAAGAGTTTTTTTATTAAGTTTAATTAAATTAAGTTTTTAAGTTTGACACGAGGTATGCTCGTTGGATGCAGTGTCGTCAAACACGTCCTGCTGGAGTCGGGGTTGATGGATCTGCTTCAAGTTCACAGGTCAGATGTCCGACTTCAAGCGGTGTTCTAGACGTTGGAGGTGGGTAAAATCCTAATTTTGAGTTGTCTGGAAGGCAGCATGAGTTTCCAATCAATCACATGTCACATTAACATATTGACCACATGATGTCGCCATGACACACCGAGAACATTTTTGTACATTGAATCTGAATTTAGAGTTGCTGCATTCCCTTTATCTCGGAAGTCAAATGTCAGCGCTGGGAATGATGTCACATCCACGTGCAGGGGTGCCGCTAAGGGGGGGGAAAGTTAGGACGATTGTAAGGGCCCACGCACTTTTGGGGCCCCCAGAGATCTGTTTTATTAGTAGTAACAGTAGTAGTAGTAATGTAATAGAAATTATAAATGTATCTACCAAAGAGTTACAAATAAAACAAAATTACGGCTTATTTCTGCATTTCCAGCAAAATTATCTCCTCCCATTCACTGGTTTCGTCCCATCCTATGTAGCCTAGAGTCACTGAGTGAGATCAGATGAACTTGTAAAATAGGAATAGATATGGAAGTGAATGTAGTGGAAAGACTGCTTAGATGGAAATTTAAGTCAGCTGACTGGGATAAATTTAAGGAGGTAAGTGAGATATTGATGATGGAAATAGAAGAATCAGTAGAGGAGGTTGAAGAATTAAACAATATAATAAATGAGAGTCTTTGTAAGGCAGCAGAATAAATAACTGGCAAAAGCAAAACAAGTAGAAGGAAGAAGCCAGTTCTGTGGTGGAATGGTGAGTGTAGTGAAGCAATAAAGCATAGAATAAAGCTCTGAAAAAGGTTAGGAAAAACTATGTTTTTAAAGATTTTATTGAATATAAGAGGAAACAGGCAATTGTTAGGAAGGTGATCAAAAATGCAAAAAGAAATTATTGGAGACAATATTGTGAAAGTATAGGGGAAGGAACTGAAATAAGTTATGTGTGGGGGAATGATCAAGAAGATGAATGGAATACAAAGAAATAACAGTATTCCAGTTATAATAAATGGAAATAAACCAGCTGTTTTGGATATCGAAAAAGCTGAAGTTTAGCCAAAGCCTTTGTAAAAGTACATAGTAATGATAATATCCCAGACAGTATGATAAGGCATAGAGATAATTGTTTAAGAGATAATCCAGAATGATTAGTTCATAGAGGATTATCAGGAAGTACGTTAGATAATGATTTTTCCTTATATGAACTAAAAAGGGCCCTTTTAGGGGCTAAGCAAACCTCCCCAGGGAAGGATGATGTGTGCTATGAAATGGTTAAGTAAGCATCTAATACATCATTGTATATTTTGTTAAGGCTTTTTAATAGAATCTGGGATAAAGGGATTTTACCGACAATTTGGAAACATGGGATTATTATTCCAATTGCAAAACCAGGAAAGGACCCTTCATTAGTTTCTAGTTACAGGCCTATAGCCCTAACGTCTAATCTGTGTAAAATTATGGAGAGAATGATTATATTTAGATTGAATCATGTTCTAGAAAATAAAGGATATATGTTTCCTTTCCAGAGTGGGTTTCGGAAAGGTCGGAACACTATGGATGCGGTTCTATGTCTAGAGTCTGATATAAGGAAGGCGCAGGTCAATAAGGAAGTTTTAGTAGGAGTATTTTTCGGCGTGGAGAAAGCCTATGACATGATTTGGAAAGAGGGACTTCTAATTAAATTGGATAAGATGGGTATTGGTGGAAGAATGTTTAACTGGATTCATAGTTTCTTTTTTTATAGATCTATTCAAGTCAGGGTGGGTTCATCATTCTCCAAAACATATTATATTGAAAACGGTACTCCTCAGGGAAGTGTGTGTAGCACCATCCTATTTAATGTAATGATTAATGACATTTTTTCCCAGGTCAGTGCAGGAGTTGAAACGTCTCTCTTTGCAGATGATGGGGCATTGTGGAAGAGAGGGAGGAATGTTTTGTATGTGATTAAAAGTATGCAGAGTGCAATTAATGAAGTGGAGAAATGGACAGATAAGTGGGGATTCCGATTATCAGTGTCAAAAACACAGGTTATCTGTTTCTCAAAAAAGAGAGAATGTAACAGTATACAATTACAGCTATATGGCAAACCTTGAGAACAGGTGAATGTGTTAAGGTATCTGGGGGTTTGGCTGGATTCTTGTTGATAAATACAAAAAAGTTTTAAATATTTTAAGATGTCTAGCTGGGGTGGAGTGGGGGGCCAGACGTCATTCACTGAAGATAATTTATTGTGCACTAATTAGGTCAACCATAGATTATGGATGTATAGTATATGGGTCTGCGTCCAAAACATTGCTGCATAAAGTAGAAATGATTCAGTCACAGGCATTACGAATATGTTGTGGTGCTATCAGGTCTTCTCCTATTCCTGCCTTACAGAAATTAAGGAAATGCGTCTTGATATCAGAAGAATAAAGCTAATGTTGAATTACTGGATATCAGTTAAGGGACATAATGATACTCATCCATTTAAAAAAGTGTTGTTAAAATGTTGGGAACATGAATCTGCCGGGCTTAATAGTTTTGGATGAATTGCAGAAGACGAAGCTCTATCGAGAGGGATCATAAATGTAGAATTGAGCCCGACAGTAGTAGTGTCACCCATGTCACCATGGCTCTTCTCTTTACCATTAGTAGATCTTAATTTGCAAAAAATGATTAATGATAAAAATAGGGTAATAACTAAGGATGCAATGGTTATGCAGTATCTTGAGCAGAATTATAGTTCAATTATTACTGTTTTCACTGATGGATCTAAAGATCCAGAAACAGGCCGAGCTTCAGCAACAGTATATATCCCACATCATCAAGTTAAAATAGGTAAAAGGGTATCTGATCAAGTAGGGGTTTACACAACAGAGATGGCTGTAATATTGTTAGCTACCAGGTGGTTGAAGGATTCTCGACTAATGAATGTGGTGATATGCTCAGATTCTTAGCATTATCAAGTCTAATTAGTGGGAGATCTTCAAGACAAGATATTCTATATGAAATTATTTTAAGTATGTACAGGGTAAATACATTAGGAAGCAAGATATGTTTCCTGTGGGTCCCAGCACATGTGGGAGTAGATGGAAATGAGGAAGTGGATCATCTAGCAAAGGAGGCGCTGAAATTATCTTCTATAGAATTTAATATTCCACTTTGTAAAGAAGAAGTTAAAGCTAAATTAGAACAGCTATAAAAGGCAATTGGCAAGTACAATGGAATGAGGAGGAAAGAGGAAGACATCTTTATCAGATTCAAAATAAAATTGGTGGTGAAAGAGGAATTCGTGGCAGTAGAAGAGAAGACACAATCATTTCCAGACTTCGTCTCGGGCATACAGCTCTTAATTATTCCCTGTATAGAATGAACAAACATGAGTCTGGGAATTGCAGTCTACTGTATGTGGATTAGCAGAAACTGTAGAGCATGTATTAATATATTGCACTGCTTATCAAAATGAAAGGATAATTCTGGTGGAAGAGTTAAAAGAATGGGTATAGGAAATATTACACTTAAAAAACTGCTGAATAAAGGATTGGAAAGTTATACAGTATATAAAGCATTAATGAAATATGGGGGTTGCAAACCAAGACGGACGATTTGGTCAGTCGCACTTTTAAACACATTTTAGTTTTGCTATAGAAAATCTACAAATTCATACTCTGATTACATAGAGCAGCAGCAGGAAGCATGTGAGGTTGTCATGGCAACCAGATACACTGCATGCAAATTATTATTTGATTATTTTGCCACCGTTTGCCACACTAAACTTAGCAATAAACACGAATACGAACACAAATAATACACAATAAGGCAGAAAGCCAAGTCCTAATCCCAGCTGAGCACCTCTGGTGTGACTTTAAATGCAGACCTTGAGCCAAAAACTCATCACCAAACACCAATATGTGGTATCCTATTTATTATTTTAGGATTTTTTGTTTGCCCCAATGAAGCATTTCTATTAATATAACTGATCAAGTAGTCAAACTCATTCCATATCAGCAGAATAGTCATATTCTTTCATAGGGCCCAAAATTGCTAGCGGCGCCCCTGTCCACGTGGACCATTTTCCAGACAATTAAAAACACATACAAAGCGGTATTTTGCACAGATAATGCCATAGTATCATGTCCACAAATACAGGTTGAAGAGTAGGCCTACTGTGTGCACCACTGAGTTTACTGAGACACAGACAAACAGAAGTGCTAATAAACAATATATTACTACTGTTTCTCTTCTGTTGATGCACTGAGCTGCCATATTGGATTCTGAAGTTGGAGTTGTTGCGATTCCGAGTCAGAACTCCGACTTCTGAGGGCATTCCAGTTAAATGTCCCTACTGGAAACTCGGAATTTCCAACTCACAAGTACAAATGGAACATACCAATAATTTCCAGGAGCACTTGATAATTACAGACAG